AGGAAAAAAAAAGACGTTTAAGTGCGCCTTATAGTCGTGAAAATACGGTAGATCCTTCAGCAGTTGGGGGGGAAATGATTTGAGTCCTCACTGTTCTCTAATTTAGCTATAAATAGACTTAGACAACTTTTGTTGTCATTTTGTATACACAGAGTGTATACAAAAAGTAGTTTTCAGATAGTAAATGAACATTTCCATTCTATAAAGTGCAGCAGTGATCAAATGTAAACAGTTTGGTAAAAAAAAAAAAACATGGTGCAAGAAAACACATTGGTATGGAAGTTCAAAGCCTTAATATATATGGTGTAAATATGCAGTATTTTTGGTTTGGTGTTATCAGTGTTATGCAGAGTCTGTGACATGATTTAGAGTTTTTTTAACACTCAGCAGTCTGTTGGCGGTGGGAAGAAACTGTTGCAGAATATGCTGGTTCTGCATTGGATGCTGTAAAGCCTCTTCTCAGAGGGCAGCAGGGAGAATCGCCCATCGTGGGAGTGTGAGGGGTCATTAATGATGTTGCGAGCTCAGGACACAAAGCGCTGGGATGAAATGTCTTTTATGGAGGGAAGAGGAGCCCTGATGATCCTCTCTGCTGTTCTCATCACTCTTCTAACTTTCTTCCAGTCTGAGGCGCTGATCCTGATTCAGCTAACATTAAAGCTCATGTAGTTTGACAGTTTAGTACCGTATTTTCCACACTTTAAGGAGCACTTCAGTTTTCTTTTTAAAACAGTAAATGTTGAGCACCTTTTACATGGATTAATTCTGGTTGTGCTTACTAAAGGCTGGTTATACTCCCCACAGCAGTGTGTCGCAGTGAGCTTGACGCAGACATTTTTGATTTATGCTCAATTTTGAGCGTGGTCTGCACTATACGCTGTGGGTCTAGATGCGGCCGAAGCGGAGAGGAAGTGGGGGCAATTTGTCCGACAACGGAGGGAGATGAGGGCTAAAAAGAGTGGGGATCTAGGTGGAAAAAAGGTCAGCATTCTCGTGCACCTCGCTCTTCACGAGTTGTTTTCCGCAATGGCGGTCATAGAAACAAAACAAGCTGGCCACTGTCTGCGCTCACCTACAATTTGGGAGAGGTGCAGCATAATGTCTGCGAAGGGGGCGGGGACGTCTTTTTGTTCATTGCGACACCTACGCAGACGACCTAGTTTCAAAATATAAATCGGCCTTAAGCCTGACGCAATTTTCTGTGCAACATAGCGCTCTGTCAAAACGTTTTGGTACAACTTCAGTAAGCTACAAAGCCACAGCTCTTGCAAGACTGCAGCTACCGCAGTCAGGAACATGTTAGAGTAACACATACTGCGCTTCACCATAATATTACAGTTTTTGCATAAGGAACCCAAAATAGCACCTGTCATCAGCATGTACTTCATACACAAGGCTATAAATCACAGAGAAAAACATGGGAATCAATAGTACAGAAGATGACCTCCACCTTATATATTAAAATAGTTTGAAAACAGGTTATTCATAAATAGTGTGCCTTATAGTGAGAAAAATAGGTTACTAATATCCTCCTTTTTAGAACACAAACAGAAAACATGAAATAAATCACAACCTAAACCCAAAAGTTACTGCCAGAGAGCACCTGAAGCTGAGTCGATTTCACTTGGACCACTGACCACCAATTACAAACAATGGTAGATAACAGACATCAAGTTCCCAAATAGCTGCTAACAATAAACTTTTCTATGGAAGACATGGTCCTGTGGCAAATTTTAATATCTTGGCTTGTCATAGAATGTCCCTGCTCTCCCATATGTCATCCAATCTGCTCCATATTGGAAATAATTAATGATGGTAGAGTAGAAATAACTGTGCTTACTGCTGTGTGCTGTGACAGGCAGAACCAATGCCTCAGGTAAAATGGGCAAAATGACTATTTATTAAGGTGTAGAGTTGAAAAAAAAGAAGATAATTAAGCATCAGCTTTATGTGCATGTAAATGACGAGACACATAATTCAGATGTGCAGGATGAATATGCAGAGAGGAAGAGAGAGGTAGGCGTTCTGGATCCAAATCACCATGACCTGCACAGAGGAGGAAAAAAAAGGGGGCAGACACACCAAGACACATAACCCAACAGATAATGCCTAAAGTTTTTCCTTTTCAATTTGGCTCCTTATATTCCAGCTCGTTTTCCTCCCATGATCTCAGAAGTCTGAACTCTTCTACTCATGCAAAAATATATCAGAAATAGAGTGGCTGACTACTTTTTTGTTGCATATTAGCAGATATGTGCCTATGTTGGCTGATGCATTAGTGCAGAGCCACTGGGTAGGAGAACTTTCCCAACAGCAGACCAAAAAACGGAAGAAAAAAAAAGCGACCCAATCATAACACAGGCAGATTGGTGACAGATCTGATACTTTAAGTAACTTTTTCACAAAATACAAAACCACTATGCAAAAGCTTACTGATTGAAAAGTTGTTTTCAATATAATATGCCATTGTGAGTCATGGGAAATTTGTGTTTTTATTATCTAGATTTAAAAAACGCAACATCTAAAAGAAAATTTGAAATAAAAATAAAAAATAAAAATATGTTTATTATGCTTGAAGTCTAGTTGAAAGCTAAAACCTTTAGTTAATAGGATAGTATTGGTAGCCCTTCCTATGACACAGTACCCCTGAAGTAGCTTTGACCCTTTAAAAGGTGGTGACCCCTAACAGCTAATTTCCCTCAAAGTACTCCACATGTTGCTCTGAATTGGTGCCCATTAGCCAATGGAGTTGTCAAAACCCTCCTATTCAACGGCTCCTGAACTGGAAGGTGCGCCGTTTAGGGGTGGCGTAGTGTAATTGCAAAGGTTTGTGATAGAAATTACTTTTTTTTATGCATTTATTTATAGCAATGTTGAAATATGTTACACTGTGGAATGAATAGCTAAACATAATATAGTTGCTCTGTAAAGTTGGTAGTTGCAGCGCTTAAATGTCGTTTTTAATTAATTGATTGTTTTATTTGATTTACTACAGTTGACATTTCTTTC